TGTGAGTTCATCCAAGGAGGTTTGAGAAGAATCAGAAACCTGCATCTCTGGTGTCTGGCTACAGCTGTTTTGTGCTGTAGATTCTTTATCCCTTTTTGTTTTTGCCTTCACCCACAACCAGACAATTTGGTATTGTTTTGGTTAAAAATACAAAACCATGCCAGAACAGCTCAAGATTAAATCCGGCATAATACTCGTCTAGACATGGGGAGCTGTTGGAGATCACGTGTGACGACTGTCAAACTCCTACTGATGAGAAAAGCCCTTCTGATACTTACCCACATGCTGCACGTCCAATTAACAGTTGACTGACACATTTGGAGGTCTTTGCCTGTCGCAGACCTCATTTAGATATCAGTCTCCTAAACTCCTAAAGCAACAGCTGGTCTCTCTGGATGTAGCTTCCCTGATCTCAGCAGGTTCATATACTACACTGAAAGCTTGAAATCCAAGCCAAATTCTCTCATTTATTAGTTTATTTACACTGATGAAAGTTTATTCATTATACAATTTAATTTCAAGCAACTTTGAGTCATTATTGGCCATTTATGATGCTCAAATTATTTTAATAAAAGATACATGGGATTAATAACAATTGCATTTATTTGATAAATACAGTAAAATCAGTCATATTATGAAATGTTATTACAACTTAAGTTTTCTATTTTATTAATTATGTTTTAGTAATTTATGTGTTGGCAAAGCTGAATTTTCAGCAGCTATTAACAGCATTTATTTGAAATAGATTTTTTTGTCTTTACTGTCATATTTCATCAATTTAAAGGGGTCATATGATGCGATTTCAATTTTTCCTTTCTCTTTGGAGTGTTACAAGCTCTTAAAGAGCATAAAGAAGATCTGTAAAGTTGCAAAGACTAAAGTCTCAAATCCAAAGATTTATTCTTTATAAAAGTTAAAGACGCCTACCTAAAACGGCTCGTTCTAACACGCCCCCACATGTCTACGTCACGATGTGGGAAGATTTGCATAATGCCGCCCAAATGTTCACGCAAAGGAAGAAGGCATAACATTTATTCTCGCTGTAGTATTGTTGCCGCCGCCGCCATGTCGTGAAGACGCTGTGTTTCGTTGTGAAAGCAAAACTACTTTGTTTGGCCTTCCAAAAGAGGACGATATCCGCTTCATCATGCCTGGAGCTGATCCGTGCTGGTTGCTGAGGAAATACATCAACTTCGCGCTGTGGATCGCCGGATCGGCTTTCACTGTGGACGAAGCGGAGTCCAGCCCGGGGTCGTCACGTGGTTGCCGCAAGCCCGCCCGCCGCGCCGTTCTCAAGCCCACCGGCCACAGCTCACTCAAGCCCACCTTGTGTGACGCTGTTTCGTTGTGAAAGCAAAACTACTTTGTTTGGCCTTCCAAAAGAGGACACGGCTAGAAACCAGTGGTTAAGTTGTATTTACAACACTGTTCCAGAACACTTAAACCTAAATATTCCAATGTGTCCAGCGCATTTTATGGAGGACTGTTTCCTGATCCTGGTAGAGTAGACTACAATGCCGGCTGTTCTGACTCACAAACTGTAAGTACGTTTTTTTATATTTAAAGAATTTGCCACTGACGATCCAAATGCGAGTTTTGGGCAGTGTAGAGTAGCGCTTGTTTGTCATTTCTCCGATCACAAATGCAGACATAGTTTTATGTTTACGCGGCGCGATGCAATGCAACGCGTAAAAAGACAGTATAAGTCATTATAATCAGTAATTATGTCCCCACTGGATGCAACAAATGCCTCGTTCATAATGGGTTTTAATGTTTTTGTCTCGTTGCTCCGGCCGGGACAAGGTATCACAATATGGCAAGGGGTGTAACATTTCCATCACACGCTTGAGGTATTCGGCCAATCACAACGCACTGGATAGCTGGCCAATCACAGCACACCTCGCTTTTCAGACCGATGAGCTTTGTAAAAATCAACGCATTTCAGAAAGGCGGGGCATAGAGAAACAATAATGTACAGTATGTGGAAAATAATGTTTTTTTTTTACCTTAAACCGCATAAACATTTCATTACACCAAATACACCAAATAATGTTCTTTTTAGCAACATCATATGACCCCTTTAATGCATCCATGCTAAAACATATAATATATTACAAATTAAGAATAAACATTATTTAATGTAGTAAAGTAAAACTACTGTTATACAAGTAAACAATAAAAATGCATAATATTTCCAAGTGAATCACTTGTAAATTTTTGCATTTAGTACACACTTTTATCCAGAGTGCCTTACAAGCAGTTATTCTAATGAATTAGTAGTTGCTGCCATATCAAGTATTCATTCCACCACAAGGGATTTTTTTTTTCTTCTTCTAAATTTGTTCAGTCTTTTATAGCAACAAGACCGTTTTCTGAGACATAGTGACACGGGACCCAGCCGCCCCTTTGACTGGCCGACTCCAGACCAAGCGCTGCCTTCTGTGACAAAGAGCAGCCATGCCGGATCGACAAACAGCGCACGACCACGAGCATGGAGCGTCCGAACCTTCCAGGATCTCCTTCCACCTCTTCCTCAACTCCATAAGAAATGGTGCAGCTGGAACTCAACCAGCCCATTCACAAAGCTGGTGGACCGTGTGAGTATTGATGCATAAGGCATTTTTATCAGATTTATCACACAAAATATGATTAAAAGTTCATTAGTGAGATATTTAAAGATATCAAGACTGACAACCTATCATTAGGACACATAAATGTGCTCCTAATGATGTCCATGGTTGTCTTCATCATAGCATTAATCATATATTTATTTTCTTTAGCACTCTAGCACAGGTGGTGGCAAATAAATAAAAAAATTGTTATTTCATACTGTGTATATGTATGTGTGTGTATATATATATATATACACACACACACACACACAGACTACCGGTCAAAAGTTTGGGATCAGTAAGACTTGTAATGTTTTTTAAAGAATTCTCTTATGCTCATAAGGGCTGCATTTATTCATTTATACCGGTCAAAAGTTTGATCCCAAACTTTTGACTGGTAGTGTATGTGTATGTGTATGTGTATGTGTATGTGTATGCGTATGTGTATGTGTATGTGTGTATATATATATATATATATATATATCCCCATGATATACTTGGGATACATATTAAACTGTAAACCATTTGTTTTTCAGGATTATTTGATGAATACTATTTATTTCAATTAGACATTTACAAAATATTTCTGTCATTTTTGATCGATTAAATGCATCTTTGTTCAAGAAAAGTATTAATTTGTAAAAGTAAATAATATATATATATATATATACACACACACACATATACTGTATGCATATTTATATATCTTTAAATTTGAACGTGTATAGCAACAAACTTGCATTAAACAATAAATGGAAGTCGTTCCTATTCCCAGTGTTTTTTTTTTGCTTTTAAACTGTCACTGTGCACTCAGGGACTCCCAATCACAGCTACAGACTCTGGAAGGGGAAAGGTCCTATCTGATGCTCCTCTTCATAGTCCTGCCAACAGCTGCCAGTCCGACTCCTTCATGAGTAACGCCTCGTATCCCCTGACTCAACCCGCCCAGTGCCAGCGACGCCTCAACTCCACCAGCAACCTCCGACGCGCACGTTTCAACACTCCATGCTTTGGCCTGCTCTCTGGCACATCCGAGTTCTCCAAACCACAAGCGAATAGAATTACAACCTCAAACGCGTTCTCCGACACCAGCGGTGCCCCATCTAGCCAGCTGCAGGTCAAAGGTCCAATATCAGGCATCGAGGATGACCACGTCACGGTACCAGTGTTTGCAATCTCAGAAGAGGAAGACCGACAGCCTCTTGTGTCAGCAGAACATCCCGAGAAGCCTTTGAGGATGAATGGACAGATGTTTGAAGGCACAAAGATGCCACTGCTATCGAAAAGCCAAGTTCCCAGCATCCAACCAATCTCTTTAGCGAGGGGAGGCCGTGGTGGAGCACTGGAGACGCAGGATCCTTCAGCTCTCTCTTGTTAACAGTGACTCCAGAAATAAAGTCTGCCAGTGCCATGAAGTTTGAGTATGATGCTCATGTGACCAATTAAGCCAATACATGATCTCAACAGGATTGAAAACTCACAGCTTATGAGCTGCTCCTGATGTCTTCATATGGTGTGAAGCACATGCAATATGCTGTGGAGTTTCAAAAGGGTTTGTTATGAATATTGGCATGAGGGAAAAATGTAAGCACTTATTGTTCTTCCTGTTATTGTATCTGCACAGTTAATTTGCTAAAACCATCTAACAGTATATTTTATAACCTGCAAATGTATGTATATGATAAACCAAGATCACTTAATGTTTCTACTCGCTACAGGGAGTTTGAGTTTGTAGACTGGGTGCATTATTACTTTCATTATGAAATTCCATGTATCTGCTCTATGAACAATACGGCTTGTTCTAATCCCTTTGCAACACGTAGAAGACCAATTAGCTGGTCTGGTAGAAAGCTGCTTGGCATCTCTCGACTTCCACACATTTTGTTTCTTGTAATCACTAAGGGTCCAATACACATATTGTACTGTTATGTATGAATGGAAATGGCATATATATATATATATATATATTCTTATTTCTCAAGGGACATAACCACTGAAAATTTTGTTTCTACTTTCTTCTACAATCAAGTTACTGTTTTTTCACCTGTATCACTTACTATGTGCCTTGTGGCAATCATCTACGCTGCTAAATATGCACTGATGCAATACCTGAAATTGTGTATACGGTCATATTTTTATAACGAATTCAAGTTCATATGCTGCAACTGTTTTCATTATAATGGTGAGTTTTCCTGAATGCAGTAATGTCAACTGTACTGACTGATGGATTATAAAGGGAACTGATCACTGTACATTTAAAATGCAGTAACTAACATTTAATGCAAATAAAACCTTGTATAGTGATGTTGTGTGGAGCTGTATTTTCTTGTACAACCTTTTCAGAATATGCATAGAAGGGACAAAGTCAAATGTAATGTAGACTTTATTATTAGTGCAGTCAATTAAACAAGGTTTTTAGTCATATTTATGTCTAGGCATTACAAACAAGAGGCACAGCAAGCACTAATTCAATTATAGAACATTAACAGTGCTATTATACAGGCTTCCTATAGTTACTCAAAAACCTGATGCGCAGAAAACGTTTCTCCATTTAAAGCCCCAGTTTAAACTTTGATGAGGTAGAATTAAACACCCCCTTTTCTGAAAGAAAAAAAAATCCCATACAACCCAAGCAAGTAAATATTTGCAGAGTACGTTTCCCTTTCAGTAAATGCAAAGCAGCCTCTAAAGCCTTTCTAACACTTCGGGACCATTCCTGAATAAATCCCTCAACCCTTCCTGCAGATTTGAAGAGTTCACAGAATGAGACCCACTTTGGAGCTCACACCATAACACCAGTCCACTCACCTAAAACCACCTTTTAGGTTTATGCAAGAGCCTGTATGTGGTTTCAAAGGAAGCTCTATCAGTCTATCTGACATTTTATAACAAAATGTTTATGTAGATATTTAAATACAATCTAAAAACCTTTTTCCACATATCTTGATACTTGTGTACATTTGATAAATACTATTTTGCATACCAATTAATGTACAATCAGATAAAGTTTAGGGAAAGTTGCTCTAGATAAAACCATCCACCAAATGCATAAAAGACAGAGGAAAAACAACTATTAATTTGCCATTGTAGAAACATTCCCAAGCAAACTTGGCCGTTTGTCAGGTGCCATTAGGTCAGTGTGTGAGGTTTTAGAGAGCTGAGGCCTTCTGTCGACCTTCATTAAAGAGCAGTTGAGGCTGGTGAGGGATGGCGCGGATTGACCTCTACAGTTGTAGGAAGTCTCATTTGACCCCAAAAAACATGCACAAGGCAAAAAAGAAAAAAAATATTTACAACAACGTTATGTTCGAAGTAACAGTAATGTAAAAAGTTCCCTGCTAAATTTTGGGAAATATTTACAAAACATGACAATGAACTGAGATACAGCATGTATCTACTTTCAGGTATTTTAAAAAGTTTCAAATATTTGTTCATGCTTTTAATGTTTTTATATAAAAAAAAAATGTTGAAGGGTAAAATGTTGAGAATTTTTATGCGGCTTTGATGCTCAATGCCACATTTTAAACACTGACTGTGGTAACTTTTTTATGGATCACATTGGCTTCCTCGGTACATAAAAATTTTATTAAAAAAACAACATTAGGAAGAACTATGGCTAAAACCAATGTGGTTTACCAAGTTAAACAAGAATCAGCTGAGTGTTAAGAATATACACCAACTGAAATCAAACTTATTGGGGAAGATGGGAATAAGTAAAGAAAAAGAAAAGAAAAAAAACTATTTTACTAGTCCAGAAATACAGCTCTAGCCTAGTCTGAAAATGTAAAGATATTGAATCAGCTATTATATGGCCATACCATCTACCTATAATATCACCAATGCCACAAGTAAAAGAAAAACTCAAATATCTTAGTTACATAGGAAAACACTAGCAAATGCATCATCCACTGACTAGCTAAAAACTGGCCTTGTTTGCATATGAGCCAAAAGCAAAAATTCCATAATCATAACATGATGTGCGAAAGCATCGAAGCCTTTATTATAAATCAGATTTGACTTGATTATCCCCTGCAGTGCGATATACCCTCAGTCTTGTGTTAGAGGAAAATAAAACACACACTTTTTCTTTACATGGCTTATTGCCCTTACTGATTAGAAAAATTATAAAATACAAAATGCAGTTACTGATGCGGAAAACCTAACATGTGAGAGTTTAGTGCACTTGACCAACACGATCATACCTTTTTTATAACAAATTTTCAATAATCTCAGTAGCATTTAAATGTCTCGAGCAGTTTATGAACTCATTGAAAAAACATTAAAATGGAAGTATGTGACATATGCAAAGAACTCTTAGGCACCAAAGGTTAGTTATATATTTTGTATATTGTATAAGGTTCAAGCTAAAGAGCTTTTTGCATGTAAAGGTGATTGCCAGCGTTGTCTCGTTTCACAATTATAAGCAGAAATGCAGCATGAAAGCATGCCAATAGCAAAGTGGAATGAAGTGTGCATACTGAAAGAGTGCACATCATGGAAAGCTAGTGTCTGTTTCTACACACAGTGCAGATCCAGATCAGATGTTTCCACATACTGACACCATACCTCAAGGATGATTGGTTTATCATCATCTGATTGACTTTGCATATGTAAGGTTGCCATCTAGAGGAGTAAAGAGGTATAACACGTGCCTGCACCCAGAAGCAGGCTAATGATGAAGCTGCTGAGACAGTCAAACTCCCAAACTACTGCTGTCAAATCAAACAACGCTCCTCCAGCTTTAGTTCTTAAACCGCGTCTGCTCACATATGTGGTTGAATTTCCTGAAAGAGGAGAAAACAAAATGACTGATTAAGATTCAGTGTTATCATTGCATGTCATCTGAATTATTGAGCATGATTATGATATTAGGATAGTGATCATTACTCAGGGTTCCTGCAGGTTTTATGAAGGTAAATTTAAGACCAAGCAAAGACAATTTAAGGAATAAATTGAACGGAACACAATACATCAATATGGTCTCTAAATGTAAATGTCTTGTATTAGCAACACTTCAAAGTTTGAAAACACAACTTCAACTTAATGACAACTTAATTTAATTTCGCAACAAAAAAGCTTGGATAGCTCTGCAAATGTCTAAAGATTCTTAAATCGAGTTACCTCTAACTTTGTGAAGCAAAACTAGAAAAAAATATTAAGTCTTTTTTTATGAGAAATGGATCAAAATAAATTCAGTTTATGATTAATACAAGAACAAATATCTACCTACGGGGCTAGAAAAAAATCGACGTTTAGATATTATTTGAAACCAAAACAAAAATACTGAGGAAGATACTCAGACTGAGGAAGATATTTTTTGAAGTCGAGGCAACATTTAATAAAGTCCTTAGCCATCTTTAAGAAACGACTAAAAACACATATGTTCTACCTTTATTTGACCCTCTAACTCTAGCACTTTCTATTCTATTTTAATTCTACTTTATCTACATTTATCTTCTTTTTTTATTTAAAAAAATATATATATTTATATTTTTCTATTCTATTTTTTCTATTCTATCTACTTGTTTTTCTTTGTGTGTGTGTTTATGTGTGCGTATAATATGTATATGTGTATATATATATATATATATATATATATATATGCACATACCTTGCTACGTGTACTGCGTTAGGCTAACCGAGACTTGTCATTTGCACTTATATATTGTTGCTCTTTTGTTAGTTTTGACTGCTTTTATTGTCCTCATTTGTAAGTCGCTTTGGATAAAAGCGTCTGCTAAATGACTTAATGTAAATAACTTTATGAATTTAAGACCTTCTGCTCTGGTTTAAGATCTTTTTAGGCTTTAATTTGTGGAAGGGCGAATTAAGACTTTTAAGACCCGCAGAAACCCTGATTAACAGAACTTTTACAAAAATTGAGAATTTCCTAACCAAAAGGCCTATGTTGTTGTACTGCAGGACTGACAGTACTGTACATAAATGTTCATTAGCTGCCCTCTACTGGTGGACTAAAGTATGACACGCTTCACAGGATAGACACAAGGATGGATGGATGTGTATAATGCTTTGCACGTGAATGCAATCATGCCAATAAAGTACTTTTAAATTTAAATTGAATTAGATGGGCAAGACATGAGATTTATTTTAAAATGAACTTTCATGTTTTGCATAGCGTGCGCTTACAAAGCGTGGTGTGCTTTCACTTGAGTCCGACAGTTGCGTCCCCAGTAACAGTTTGGTCTTGTGGTCACAGAATCTGTGGAAAAACATACAAAAAAAATAAAAAAACCTTACTGCATACAAATATACTTTATTCATTCTGTAGTTTTATATATTTGGCTTTATGTCTACCTACAGCAGAGGGGCATGAAATTAACACTGTGACACTAATATGGGGCAGTCGTGGCCTAATGGTTAGAGAGTCGGACTTGTAACCCGAAGGTTCGAGACTCAGGTCCAGCAGGAATTGTCGGTGGAGGGAGTGAATAACCAGCACTCTCTTCCACTCTCAATACCACGACTGAGGGGAGACCTTTGAGCAAGGCACCGAACCCTGGGCGCCGCAGCAATATTGCTCGTTGCTCCGGGTGTGTGTTCACGGTGTGTGTGTCACTACTGTGTGTGTGCACTTGGATGGGTTAAATGCAGAGCACAAATTCCGAGTATGGGTCACCATACTTGGCCACACATCACTTCACCAATATGACTGTGCAGCTTTGTGTTACCTGGCAGCTCTGGTGCAGGAATATGCTCTCTGTATTTGTATGCAAGCTCTCTAAAAGTGCGAAGTCCACAGCAGTAGCACAGGAAAGAGTTGGCAGTGATTCTGAAATCTGAAATACATGCACATATAAACAACAGTGAATTACAGAAGGCCATTTACCTGAGATAGTCATCTTCAGTGAAATAGTACTAGATAACTGATGCATTGACATTCAGTTTCTTTATGAGCGGTATAGTGAAACGATAAACCAATTTGTCAGCTGGTATAAATAATATTACGATTTGCAGCCACATGTTAGGAAATGAGTATTCCAATCACTTTATGTTCAGAGGAAAAGATATAGATAATGATACAGATAATGTATCCCCCAAAAAGTTCAGACATACTGTAGAATTTTTTTTTCCTTTTATCAAATCACCCTAACTTCAATATGTGCCTGACCCTCAACATTTCTTAATATGACCAAAGGGCTGGTTACCGGAGAGCTGGTACAGGCCCTGCTGTACAGCCTGGAGCGCTTCCTGCAGCATATGCCTCCAGCTCATTCCTCGAGAAGTCAAATAATTCTACCACAAAAAGCAGAAATGTAAGCAGAACTGTATGGAAGAGGATTAGGGCCAAGCAATAAAAAAAATTAAATCATCTCGAGATTAAAGTCGTTAAATTTCAAGAAAAAAGACGAGATAAAATGTTGAGATTAAACTCATTAAATTTCAACAATAAAGTTATGTTTTGAGAAAAAACTAGTTTCATTTCGAGGAAACAAAGTCGAAATAAAATGTTGAGAATAAACATTCAATTACGAGAAAAAAAGTTGTTAAATTTCGAGAAAAAATTTGAAATAAAATGTTGAGAATAAACCATTGAATTTTGAGAAAAAAGTCAAGAATAAACACACTTGTGTCATGTTCATTTCATCTCGTTGGAAAGTGTTATTTAGTGTCTGCAGTGGGGTGGGTTGGAGAGTAATACACTGGGCAGTAGCGTATGATACGATCGACTGGGTTCAAGTCCATCTATTGCCAAACTCGCTTTTCTTCCTTTTCTCATGAAAAAGTGGAAAAGTGGAAATCAATTGCTTAACGAGTGTTTAATAATAATGTATTAATTAGGGGTAGGCAGGCTATAGGGAGGGCTTTGTTGTCCCAATAAGGCAGCATCTATTTCTATAATTTCAATAAATAAAATCATTGTTATTCAAATCAATGTTATTATTGCATCCTGCTAGTGTACAACAATACTAGCTACTATTTACACTTATTGCAAAGATCTGCTACATTTACATAACGTAAATAGAATGGCTATTTTCACTTAGTGTAAATAGCACATATCTAAAATGCTGCTGTTGTCACTTTGTGTAAATAGTACATATAAAAATATAGCAACTGTAAATAGCAACTGGCAGGGGTGTCCAAAGTCCGGCCACGGGCCGATGAATTTCAAACGGCCCGCAGCTTGTCTATTGAAATGTAGGCTATTATATATGGCCCGCCAATCATAATTTACAAATCATGCAGTTTCACAATGTCAACACAAAGTGACAGCACTACATTTTAGGCCAGATACAGTGGGGCAAAAAAGTATTTAGTCAGCCACCAATTGTGCAAGTTCTCCCACTTAAAAAGATGAGAGAGGCCTGTAATTTTCATCATAGGTAGCACATATCTAAAATGCTGCTGTTGTCACTTTGTGTAAATAGTACATATAAAAATATAGCAACTGTAAATAGCAACTGGCAGGGGTGTCCAAAGTCCGGCCACGGGCCGATGAATTTCAAACGGCCCGCAGCTTGTCTATTGAAATGTAGGCTATTATATATGGCCCGCCAATCATAATTTACAAATCATGCAGTTTCACAATGTCAACACAAAGTGACAGCACTACATTTTAGGCCAGATACAGTGGGGCAAAAAAGTATTTAGTCAGCCACCAATTGTGCAAGTTCTCCCACTTAAAAAGATGAGAGAGGCCTGTAATTTTCATCATAGGTATACCTCAACTATGAAAAACAAAATGAGAAAAAAAAATCCAGAAAATCACATTGTAGGATTTTTAAAGAATTTATTTGCAAATTATGGTGGAAAACAAGTATTTGGTCAATAACAAAATTTCATCTCAATACTTTGTTATATACACTTTGTTGGCAATGACAGAGGTCAAACATTTTCTGTAAGTCTTCACAAGGTTTTCACACACTGTTGCTGGTAATTTAAAACGTGAGTGACAACAATCTGATAACTCATATGTGCTGTTCTTTAGCTCACCGAAAGCGGAAGAGCACTACTCGTGTGAAGCACGCTGCACGGATCGTTATTAGCTCTGCCTAAAACAGCGCAGCGCGAGCTCAGAACAACTGCGTTTACTCGCAGGTCTCGATCAGGCGACCACTAAACAGCGCTGTGAGAAGCATTTGAGTTTGGAGCTGAGCTCTCCAATACAAACCACAGATGTCACAGTGATTTAAACTAGTTTAAAGGCAGATGAAACCGCGCTGCCATTCTCAACAACACTGACGCGGGAAACAGGAGAAACACTGTGTGACAACAATGCAGTTAGAATACTTTTCAATCCACAAATGAATATTTACAATGGATTTACTGTAGTAACACTAAACCTACCTAATTAATACATTATTTTTAAATACTCGTTAAGCAATTGATTTCCACTTTTCCAATGTGATTGTTTGGCAAGAGATGGACTCGAACCCAGTCGATCGTATCATACGCTACTGCCCAGTGTATTACTCTCCAACCCACCCCACTGCAGACGCTAAATAACACTTTCCAACGAGATGAAATGAACATGACACAAGTGTTTATTCTCGACTTTTTTCTTGAAATTTAACACGTTTTTTCTCGCAATTTCACGTAATTTAATGAGTTTATTCTCAACATTTTATTTAGACTTTTCTCGAAATGTAACGACTTTTTTCTCGTTATTTAATGAGTTTATTCTCAACATTTTATGTCGACTTTTTTTCTCACAACTGAACGACTTTTTTCTCTAAATTTAAAGATTTTTTTTCTCGAAACATAACGACTTTATTCTCTAAATTTAATGAGTTTAATCTCAACGTTTTATCTTGACTTTTTTCTTGAAATTTAACGAGTTTTTTCTCGAAATTTAAAGACTTGAATCAGAATCAGAATGAGTTTTATTGCCAGGTCTGTTTACACAAACAAGGAATTCGTTTTAGTGACAGAAGCTCCACAGTGCAACAGTGTAATCTCGAGATGGTTTTATTTTTAATTTTTTTATTGCTTGGCCATAATCCTCTTCCGTAGAAATGAGCAACAGCTTAGAGCTCCAAGAGTTATAGAAGTCAAATTCTAACAAATACTTATAATTAAAAACTAGGTTTTCACATTTTCTAAAGAAAATGATAACTGAGGGCTGGGATTCCAAGTGGGACGCAAAATGTAGTAGTTCATTTAAAATAAATTTTATTTAAATAATTTAATTAAAAACAAATTAAAATTAAAAGAAAAAAATGTGTATTTACACTGTTTATCCTAAAAAATAAGTTATAGGCTAGTTTAAGATATGAAAAATTCCCACAGTATTAAATTCTAAATACTTAAATCTTCTGCTGTATCAAGAAATTTTTTTTTTACACTGCATTAAAATGTTACTGTATCTTGAAATTAATCTGATTAAGATCATCATTTTAATCTATTGACAGCCTAATTCAGACAATGTGATTTTTTTTGACCATTTTATCATCCATCAGGCAAAAAAAGTGCTATAAGATTGGTTAGAAAAGTAATAGCAGTTAACAATCCACACAATAATTTGAGGTTTCATGTATGTCTGTAGCACAACCATACTGGATGAGTTAAAAGTTTAATACTCAAAGCTAGTGATTTGTTAAAATTCCTAATCCCAAATTTGTATTTCCAACTAAAACTATTCAAATAGTTTCCTTAACTGAATATAATATAAATATAAATAACAAAAAAAAAACTTTTAGAATATTTTCTAGAAAGGATTTTCGTAGAAATTAGAAAAAAAAACAGGGAAAAAAAGAGATGTTGCCTTGCAACCAGTTGAAATGCTAAAATGACTAAAATGGAAATAAAAACAGAATACAAAAAACCCCAAATAATAAAAGAAATATTTATAATCAAAAAAGACAAAAGCATATAACACAATTACTAATAAATACTATTATAGTGTATAATAAATAATAATAAAATAACAGTGATTCCATGTATGAGTATGAGTTCCAAGTATGAGCAAACAAACTGTACATACCTGAAGGACTTCAGACTCATATTGATTTCCATTAAAAACTCCATCCAGACATTTATCATTAAGGTTAAGTTCTGTCAAGAGAAATAACCATAATCATTATTATAAAATAACACAGACAGTCAGAGCTAGGGGAAGTCGTGGCCTAATGGTTAGAGAGTCGGACTTATAACCCAAAGGTTGTGGGTTCGAGTCTCGTACCAGCAGGGATTGTAGGTGGGGGGAGTGAATACCACGACTAAGGTGCCCTTGAGCAAGGCACCGAACCCCCAACTGCTCCGGGTGTGTGTTCACGGTGTGTGTGTGTTCACTGCTGTGTGTGTGTGCACTTTGGATGGGTAAATGCAGAGCACTAATTCCGAGTATGGGTCACCATACTTGGCCACATGTCACGTCAGAAATATATTATACAGAAAGCTTAACTGCTTCAGAAACCTACCACTGAAACGTGCAAGGCAGCCGTGACAGCCGATCCGCTGGCAGCCCCAGTACACATGACAGTAAGGTTTCTGGCACACCATACCTGGCCAAAGAATCAGACAACAAATCATCAGGTGACTCCAGGAGGCCTGAGAACATTGATGGACAGGTGTCAGGGTCACTCACAGTGCTGCGGGGACATCTGAGGGGGAAGGTGCTCGAAGCGTCGGTCGGGCATGGGCTGCAGGCAGCAGGAGCAGATGAGGTGACTGCCCTGAGGAGGACATCTGAACTCCTGAGGAGCTGCAGTAGGAATACAGTGGATTTAAGCATATGAAGAATTGCATACATGTGTCTGTTCTGTTGTTGTGCAAATGCATTGTCAAGACTCAAGTGTGAGCATGAATAACCTGTGGAGGTGTCAGAGGATGTGGAGGGGCCGTCTCCAGGCACTTTAGCTGGCCCTTCTGATTGAGCGGCCTCACAGATCCACAGGGCAGAGCTAAGCTCCTTCCGATAACCTGGACACTGCCGACACATCATATAGGGCTGACTGTGAACAAGCATGGTAGATCAGGGTGTGCTTCAGTAATCACTTAAATACTTGATAGAATCTACTATTTTAAGATCCAAGCAAGAGAATCACAATTTCAGCTAACATTTAATAAGAAACAAAACACTATAATAATTTAGATAACTGGATTTTCCTTTCTTTAAAGTTCTACTTCAAGTAATACAAGATTCTGAATGGATAACAGTTGCTCACCTCAAGTCAGAAATGTCACTGTCATTGTCTGAGAGCTCAAACAGATAGTCTGAACTGCCCTCCTCATCCGAGAAGGAGCGTTCCACCTTTGGCTGCAGCATGTCCTGCGTGATCTTGTTTCGGGCATCCATGCTGCACAAGTCATCTTCACTCCGACACTTCTCTATGACCAAAAAAATAAATCAAAAATTTGTTCAGAAGTTTCAAAAGCCTACGGTCAGTACTTTTATTTTTCCAATACTTTTAATCCACAAGGAAAGATGACATCGATCTAAAGTGACAGTAAAGACATTTATAATGTTAAGAAAATGTGTTTTTTGCAAATAAATAGTTATTTTAAACTTTCTATTCATCAAAGTGTCAGTTTTCAACATTCATAATAAGAAATGCTTCTCGAGCACTAATTCAGCATATTAGAATGATTTCAGAAGCATCACGTGACACTGAAGACTTGAATATTGGCTGCTGAAAATTCAACTATGCCATCACAGGAATACATTTTAAAATATATTAAAATAGAAAACAATTATTTTAAAGTGCAATAATCTTTCACAATAATAATGTTTTTGATCAAATAAATGCAGAAAAGAATCTCTTCTTGGTACATTCAGAATAAAATGGCTTAAAGAGTGTTTAGCAAAGCCACTCTCAATATGGTACCGTATTCCTAATCATATTTTCAAAAATATCGGTGGCCTTGAATTTGTTTTAAGATGTGATCTTGATCTTTTCAAAATTCCTTTAAAGGTTTTTAATTTTCATAAACAAGTTCTGCTTTTTTTGGAAAATTATATTTACCCATAACTTTTCCCCTTACAACTCCACACTTTGGCTGTAGTTATTAACAGAAAGTCTTTGTTTAAAATTGATTGGTATAGTAAAGGCATTATTTTTATTCATGATTTATTAGATGAAAATGGGTATTTATCTAATCTCATCATTATTTTAATAATAAATATAGAGTTAAAATTACGATAAAAGGCTATGATAAAGTACGCAATGTTATACCCACTGGTTTATTAAGAATAATCCAAAGCAGTTTTTCTGATCCATTATCTAGGCATGTAGTTTCTCTTCCTTATTTAAAAATATGTAATGTAGACCTCTTCGATAGTAAGTGTAATACAAACTTATAAAGAAAGAATTTAAACATATTATCACTTGGGAGTTACCAGTGCTATTTTTTGGGAGATGTTGAACCCTCAGTAAAGGATAAAGATTTACCTTTTATCTTACATACCCAGTCGCTTTGAAGGTTAAGGAGACATATTACAGAACTAAAAATACCTTGCAAACGGTTTATACTCTCATGCTGTTTAGTTACATTTGACTTGGTGTGAACAGGCCTCAAGTGAGAATAGAGGTGTGTTACAGTACCTGGGTGCTGGAGAAGGTAAGCCTCCACCAGGTTGTTGAGGATGTGGTTTTTACGGATCCTCTCCACAGGACATCGGCAGGTGGGGCAGAGGGAGGAACGCTCCATCCAGCCAGAATAACAGGCAGCACAAAATGTATGCATGCAGGGCTGAAGACTGTATAGAAACACACACATTAACTACTGAAAATTCATTCAAATTCAGCCTCCACACACATTCTAAAATCCTTCTTAAATTATTTATATAAAAGTTTTAATTAGTAAAACAACTAATGGATTTACGCTCAGCCAACATGTCCATTCGGGTGTAAGTGTTGATTTGTGCACACTGGACTGACCTGACACAGTCGTGCAGCAGGTCCTGGCAGACAATGCATGTGAGGGATTCTTCCATTTTGTCTGTTGTGGCTCCTTCACTTTTCTCTTTCCCTGCTGCTCCTCTGAGAGGAACCTGAGGAGCTGCTGCAAAAACAGCAGACTCACTGTGAGAAGATCCATACCCCTCCTGATCATCTGCAAGACAGATAGATACAGACTTCAACGTTACATTTGAAAGTGTCTATATTGTAGAACAGTTCTGAAATGCATGTTAAAACCAGAGAAAAACTTCAGAAGTCAACAAGATTTCATTGTTTTAAAGAAATTCATTATTTTTATTTAGCAAAGATGCATCAAAAGTGACAAAGACATTTATAATGTTTATTTTTTAAATGAATTCTGTTCTTTTCAACTTTCTATTTATCAAAGAATCTTGAAAACAAGTATCACCGTTCCCACAAAATATTAAGCAGCACAACTGTTTTCAACAGTGATAAGAAATGTTACTTAAGAACCACATCAGCATATTACAAAGATTAGAATGATCATGTGACGCTGAAGACTGGAGTAATGCTGCTGAAAATTCAGCTTTGCCATCAAAGGAATGAATTACATTTTAAAACAGTGAAACAGAAAACAGTTATTTTAAACTGTAATAATATATCACAATATTACTGTTTATTTTTGATAAAATAAATTCAGCCTTGGTGAGCATGACAGACACATTTTTGAACGGTAGTGCAATCTTACACCATCAAAGCATAAAACACTTCTAAACTCTTTCAAAGTAGTCTGAAAAATTTGTAAAGTTAGTGATTATCATTATGTTGGAATACAGATGCTTAGACCACTCAAAATAGACAGAAATCATAAATTATTTACAACGCATCACATTTATTCATTTTACCAAAACTGTGTGTTACAGCACCTTTGTCAGTTTTTCTTCTTTTCCTCTGCATTTCCACCTCTGGCTCCATCTGTCGCGCTCCTTCAGTCCAACAGGTCCACTTCAGGTGAGTGTGATTCATGACCGGCTCCCCAGGGCTGCCTGCTGGTGCAGTCATCTCTGATTCTCCTTTACGAATAACCGAAGAACTCACTGGGTTCTTCTTTGCAGACACATCTGCTAAAAGGTTCATACAGGCATATACATTTTTTAGGCATTTTCTGAGTATGTAAAGGCTTGTTCACACCAAAAATGTTAACTATAAAGATAAAGAAAATGCTAACTATATCAGTGTCCACAGTAACTCATAACATTCTGTTTATTATAAGTGCACACTGCTCTTTAAAGCAGGATGGATTCTGATTGGCTGTCAAGGTTTTAATCGTTCATCAGTTAGAAAAAAATGTTCCAACCATATTGGTTCTCTGTGCCATTATTGTTACAGTTGTGGTGTGGACTCTGCTATCCTTTTAAATTGAACCCCTTAACTGTCACTCACATTTTTGAACATAGACTTGAAAGTGCACGATCCAAACTTAAATTTGTATAATTCATGAACGAAACCATTTTGTAACATGATATTGTTGTACCATTTTCTATGTAATGCAATGTTTGATTTTAAAATGGGTTTCAAAGGATGAATTTTGAGATTTAAAGTTTTCAATTGATATATAATTTCTGATGATTTCTAAAGTGTGATAGAGAAAAAGGCAACAAAGAAGACTTTTTTTGACAAAGGTCAGAACTCCTGTTATGATGAAGATTTTTGAGGTGCACTCTTGTCAAAAATTAATCTATTACTTTTCCTACATAATTTTTAACAAAAACATTGGTAAAATATCTATTTAGGAGTCTTAGACCTTTCCAACGATATACCATTTGTCATGATTGGATTAGGATTTAATTGTAATATAGTGACAATTAAAACTGTATCTTTAGTTATATTTATAGTCCTTGGTCTGAACAGGCCTTAAATATGAAAAACTCAATGCACAGATGAACAGCAGCATAGAAAGCCAATGCAATTACAATTATATACTAGTCATTTTTTTATCAAAACAACTTGCATGAAAGTGCACATACAGTGTGGATGGTAATTACCAGAGCAGGTAGATAATGGCATGTTGTAGAAGTGGAAGGAAGAGCTGGAGGTAGATGGCTGAGGATCCTCATGCCCAGACTGAGGTAGATGCTTTACAATAACAGGCTCTACTGTTGCTGGTTCACTCTCGGTTTCCGTCAGATCTGAATCTTCTTCTCTTCCAGCATCTATGGAGATCCCAAAGAGAAAACTTTAACTTACAGAAATTGCCAAAAATTGCATGGAGATGAAGCTGGGATTTCATGAAATCAAAACTCACTTTTCACCTTTCTCATGTTATTATGGGTAATTCATCTGTGCATGTTTTTCCAAAGGAGAAAAATGCTTGTTTCCATAGCTTCTATTCAAAATGTAGTAACATGCTCTTTCTTTTTCTGCTGACCTCACTTAGGCATGCAATAGCAAAACTAACTCTGTATAACAGGAGTATAGGAATATCAGTATGAAACATTATAGTCAGTATGTATTTACCTTCAACGTCCTGTGAGAAACTTTCCTGTGGCCTGATGGCCTGATAAACGTAAGCGATGTCTGCAAAACCAAAAATAGATGAGTGATGTGGCTAACCTGCATCATCTGTTTGGATGCAACTATGCTACCGAAACAGGAAATGCTTAACAAATGTGAAAACTCACTTTGCTCTGGCTCATTCTTCCTGTACACAAAGTGAATGACATCACCATTCTGCAGTAAATGCATCTGCTTCTTCACCACTTTGGACATATTGACCACTGTTCCATTGGTGCTGACGGAAACAAACAGATCATCATCAAGCAGAAATTACAGTTCCCATAATTAGGAATTTCATGGATTCCTTTTTGTGCGAGTGCTATTCAGAGGCTAAATGACTAAATTAGTGAATTCTATTTTCTGGGACAATCGACAAAGAACAAGAAAGATTAAAAGAACGTCACAAGTTGGCTTCAAACTCAATCGACATGCCTGAGCAACATGTCCACTTATCTGCCAAGCCACATTTCTGATGTATGATAGTGCTTCTCATGTATTTGAAAAATGTTTTTGAATTGTTTGAGAAATGGCAAATTACCCATTTATGAACTTATCAATGTTTTAAAAATAGAAAAGAGAAAGTTGTACAAGAAAGGATAATGAGAAGGGAAGGAGGGGAAACTTGCCATTTCCATCACGCAGACTAAGCATTGTGTAAAACACGGAGCATATTATTGACTGTCTAGCAGACATTCACTTAATTAGCTGGATGGAAATGTACAGCAGCATTGGTGAGCTGGCGTACAATCAAATACATGAGAGATACAGTCACTACAGACACAGATCAACTAGTATATCTCCATCAACTGACTATTAACCAAATTACAATTAATTATTCACCAAAGCAAAGATTATATGTCATGAGGGAATTGGATATACAGGTGCATCTCAATAAATTAGAATGTTGTGGAAAAGTTCATTTATTTCAGTAATTCAACTCAAATTGTGAAACTCGTGTATTAAATAAATTCAATGCACACAGACTGAAGTAGTTTAAGTCTTTGGTTCTTTTAGTTTTATTGGTCTTATGAAGTATTTTAATTTTTTGAGATAGTGAATTGGTGGGTTTTTGTTAAATGTGAGCCAAAATCATCACAATTAAAAGAACCAAAGACTTAAACTACTTCAGTCTGTGTGCATTGAATTTATTTAATACACGAGTTTCACAATTTGAGTTGAATTACTGAAATAAATTAACTTTTCCACGACATTCTAATTTATTGAGATGCACCTGTATATTTGCTGCAGGGCGAAGCATGTCATTAACTGAATTCACTTACTAGCGTAATTACAAGTCCCCCAGTATAATTTGCAAAAACCCAACAGACCTAAAAAGAATTAACACCAACTGCCCATATGCAAGTTTTTTTTTTTGATACATCTATTTGTGAAAAAAATCAACTGTAGCATCACCGTTATACATCAGTCTTCCAAAATAGTATTAGTAATATTATTAATAATAATAATAGTTACACTGTATTAAACTGTAATCTGACAAACCTAGTGGATTGATGGATAGTGGCAAAAACTGGAAAAGATTTAAAATTACAATTTGTTTTTTGTTTCATTGTGATCTTAGTCTTTTAATGTCATCTAATGATTCTTGTTCTAAATATGCCTGACAAGATTGAATGACACACTGAATGACATTTTTAATCTGTAAATCATATATGATAGTCACTGATATATACTTTATATACTAATTTAATATAGTTTATACTAATACTATGTATACACAGTATATTAGTATAAACTATGTACACTAAAAGAGGGAACGAGCAGGAACATGATATTGGCATGAAATTATTCAACAATCCATGTGTGTGTATTATAGCTCATTTCTTACAAGAAGGACCTCATGATGTCAAACAGGTGGTCCTACCTCATGTCCTCCAGCCACACCTTTCCTGAGTTCTGATCTTGAATGATTTTGCAATGATTCCCTGAGACCAGTTTATTAGCCGGGAATGAGAGGTCACAATCTATGAAGAAAATATGTCTGTGAGGTTTTGACATAGAGCAGGGGTCTCCAAACTCGGTCCTGGGGGGCCACTGTCCTGCAAAGTTTAGCTCCAACTTGCCTCAACACACCAGCCTGGAAGTTTCTAGTATGCCTAGTAAGACCTTGATTAGCTGGTTCAAGTGTGTTTAATTGGGGTTGGAGCTAAACTCTACAGGACAGTGGCTCTCCAGGAGCAGGTTTGGACACCCCTGACATAGAGATAAGTCAACAATAAATCAAAATGGACTATATTCTTTTTCTTATTGTGTACAATCCATCACTGTTATTAAAAAATAGGTCTTTATAATCTTTTAACAAAAAGATTTGTTCCACTTCTGAAAAGTTTTAGCTGATGTCACCTTCAAGCTTTTAGGCCCTGTCTCAAATGCAAAAATGCAAGTTTGAGCTCAAACAGTAGCTGTGTGAAAATGAGAAAAGCATGACGAAAATAAAGTCTAATTTTAGGACCATTAATAATAATTGTGAAATGTCCAAAATTCTCACTACTGGAAGGCAAATAAACAAACAAACAAATAAAATAAAAAAATATTAATAATAACAACAGTAGTTGTAGTAGTAGTAAAGTATTTTTACATTACAGTAGTGCATGTTTCTAGCACCACACCAAGGTCATGGAATCGATTCTCTGGGAATGCATGAAATGATAAACACATACTTTGCAATGTAAGTTGCTTTGTCTACAAGAGTGTGGATAAATGGGAACGGCAAATGGGACACTCTATGATTTTATTTAATATCCTGCTTCCCTTTAAAATAGGTTACATTACTGAAGTAAAATTGGTTGTGAACGCATTTTCATTGCGACTTTAATAAAGCACGCTCTTCTTTTCATCAAGCACCTTTTCTCTTCCTGACCTGGCCCATTACTTTCTCGCTCAGACACATTAGGCATGCAAGTCTTAAATGAAGTATAGTGTGGCGTGATGTGATGTAAGGTTAAAAATGACACTATTATAGTAATGAAGCATATCAGTTCTACTAATAACCAGTGTCGAATGTTACTGTGAAGCATGCCGAACCAAAGAGACACATGGATTAATATTAATTAAAGCAGAAAAACAGACAGTCTTCAAAACCAGACAGACACAGACGGAGTCAAAGGGATACAACCTTTCCCTGCACACCACCACAACACAAAAAAACTACTTAATATTCCATGAGCATGTCTTCAATAGATGCCTTTGTCATTATTGGGGTGGGGGTTCATTTGCTGAACTAAAGAGAGTATTGTGAAAGGCATGAGCTCACTGAATAGATGCAGACACTGCTTCAGACTGATTATCTTCTTGAGGGTTAAAAAAAAGTAACAACTAATAAACTTAATAGGTAAAACTAGACAGTCATAGAAAAGTCTGTAAATAATTTAGAGGCCCTTTTAAAATGAAACAATTATTCCACATTATTAACGATGACGTTCAGCGCACCTTTTTTTCTTCCCACCGTGCATTCTCGATTTATAAGTAATATCTCTGAACCCGGAGATGCGTCGAATTTCACAAGTTTTCCCCAGGCCTGTCCGCTGCCCTGATGTGCCGCCATCTCCTCTTCCTTATTTTACCTGCCAGACAGCAGATCACGTCACCTAAAGAAGCATGAGGCAAAGAACAAACACAAATATGTCATGAAGTCAAATAAATGCAAATGCTGATTATGGTGAAATAGAGTCGAAAAATGGAGTGTGAACCACTACACACAGCATCTTTAGTCAAATAAACAGTAGAGGAGACCAGGAAGTGTTTGCAACACAAGATGAGTTGTAACCAGCAGTTTAACTGATTATAAATGAGCTACAGGGATGAACTCATACTGTACATGAACAAAACCCTCAGGTGACAGAAGTTAGACTCTGCGCAAAACAATCAGTATCATTTTTCTAAATCAGAAATGTGTTATCATGTTAAATGACAGAACTGGTATCAAATGAATCAGCAGATATTTAAAAGCTTTACTAATATCACAACTGACCAGATGGGCAGAACTGTGACATGCCTTTTTTATGTACTTTTCTGTATACATTTCCAATATATTGTAAATATATTTGAATTTTTGGAATATCAAAATACGGATGGGGAGGTAAATTTGATTATAGTAATAAATTCATGCACACAACTTCATGATTTATATTAAGTTAGCGTTACAGCAGTGGTAGTGAAGAAGGGTGTAAAAACTCTTGCCATTAATTTTTATAAAGTTTAGACAAGTTATATATTTCTAAACGACTTTAATTTGAAGCATTTAGATATGCAAAGATATTACATGAAAGTCTGAGATACATAGTACAGAGTGTTACAGACTCTAAACCTACTTCATAAACATTATTACCAGCTATTCGATCATTACGCAGAAGTCAGTGTGCTAACTAGCTAACTCAAGCTGCAAAAGAGTTCTGGGTAAAGCTAAAACTACTAGAGTAAATTAAATTATACGAGCTGAATGTGTAAAATCTTTCATTTCTTTAAGTGTCTGTTTTCAGTTTGAGTTTTGTTTTCGGAAGCTAAACAGCAGCGTGAAACGGCGCAATGTTTACGCGAGGGCTGCTAACTCTCGAGTCGCTAGCCCACAATCACATCTGAAACGGTTCAAAACAACAAAATTCATCTGTAAACTCAACCTCTAATGCATTCAATGTACTAACCTAACCAACGTCCGAGAGTATCCGGAGCATTAGCGCAAGTTGAACTGAATCTTCTGTGCGCTTTCGTTTTTATTTTCTTGAGCACTTCCTGGCCAGCAGTGGCATGTTCAGGCATCAGCTGATAGATCGGAGGAGGAGGAGGAGGAG